AAAGCGAGGTCACATTTTCCAGATTTACACTGAGGATGAATACAAAACTCAAAATTCTCTTTATGATATCATACCCATAACTACCAGGCTCTTGTTTTATGTATAGATCAGTGCCTAGTAAGTGTCATATGGGCAGAATCTTCCATTTGTTACTGTGCTGGATGGTTGTGAATGCATTTGCAAAGAGATCACAGCAAGGTGATTGGATGAGATGAATTGGTCTATGTATAAACAATGTGCAGGGCCCTTCATTCTGGGAATATCTGCGAATGTTCAAAAAGTAGCAAAAACGAGCGTTCTTAATAAAGTTTTTCAGATGAGAAAAAAAATACCTATTGCCTCAGCTCCGTCTAGTGACCCTAATGTTACTATTACATCACAATACATTTGACCTGAAAGAAAAATAGATTAAAAGGAGAATTATGAGGTGAGTGATTTTCACTCAACCTCATAGTTCGAGCCGACGTGTGGCAATGAAACTGCCACACGTCGGCTCAATAGATCGGGAAGTGAGCAAACGCATACCGTCGCTCGCTCACTTCTCGATCATGTCCCGGCAGAGAGCAGTGACTGTCACTCGTGGCTCCCTGCAGGGATTCCCCCCCTCGCCAATCCTCCAGCGCTGACTGGCGGAACGGACGGGGGAGGGTACAGCTGGCTCTGCCTCTAGAAAGGCAGAGCCAGCTGCGTGATTGACAGCTGGCTCTGCCTATCTGCACAGTAATGTCGGGATCCATCCCGGCTGCGGCGGTCTCAGTATATCGCTAGCTGTAGCTCGCGATATACTGAGCTTCGGGACATGGGAGGACGCTAGTTTATGTCCTCCCATGTCCCTTAGGAGAACTATGGTGAAAAACACTTACCCCATAGTTCTCCTTTAAGAATGTTTGTTTTTGTCAATATGAAATTACATTTTAAAACATATCTGCAGATCTGGAATGAAGAAATGGAATTCTGAAATGCATTTTATGCCGATGCGAACATGCAGGTTAGTCAAATGATGGGGAGAAATAATATGGAATAAATGCTTCCAGGTACAGGGATTGTGCATGGTCGTTTGATTATATCAAAGAAAGTCATTACTGACAGCAATACAAAGGCTGCCATTGCCAATCACCTTCTGAAAAAAAAGTCTAAAGATTTGTAATTGACTATGAAAAGCACTGAAGAGCTTCTGTAGCATTCCTATGGGCCCCCTGGAGTCTGAAGCCCTGCCCAGCTGTTCATATTATAATCTACCATTGGTCTAAATGAATCAACATGAATGGAAAATGCAAGCCAGTGCACCAAAAATGCACCATGCAAGACTTTTGTTCAACACAACACATTGTCGTGGACCAATCCTATTGAAATCACATGATTTTTTTATGTCTGTATAAAACATATCTGCAGATCTGGAATGAAGAAATGGAATTCTGAAATGCATTTTATGCCGATGCGAACATGCAGGTTAGTCAAATGATGGGGAGAAATAATATGGAATAAATGCTTCCAGGTACAGGGATTGTGCATGGTCGTTTGATTATATCAAAGAAAGTCATTACTGACAGCAATACAAAGGCTGCCATTGCCAATCACCTTCTGAAAAAAAAGTCTAAAGATTTGTAATTGACTATGAAAAGCACTGAAGAGCTTCTGTAGCATTCCTATGGGCCCCCTGGAGTCTGAAGCCCTGCCCAGCTGTTCATATTATAATCTACCATTGGTCTAAATGAATCAACATGAATGGAAAATGCAAGCCAGTGCACCAAAAATGCACCATGCAAGACTTTTGTTCAACACAACACATTGTCGTGGACCAATCCTATTGAAATCACATGATTTTTTTATGTCTGTATTTTTTTTTTTGCATAGGTCGAATCCAGCAAACTGCGAGACAATGCGTGTGGTGTGAAAAAAAACCCATGCATGACCGTTTTATCAACCTGCAACAAATTATCTTTTCCTTCCTGTGTGGTGATAACATAATAACCATTAAAACCAAAAAAAAACAAACAAGCATTGTGATGCATCTTACAACGCATCGCAGTAAGCATGCATGCCAAAAACCAGCGGGCATGCGTTTTATGCACCTAAAGGTGGAAATAAAGTCCACAAATACTTACCTTGGCTCCAGCAATGCAACATCCATGAGCTCCATTGCTGGTGCCAACATTATCTCCCCGGCCTCCTCAGGGTGCGTGGTTTTCGGTTGTTTTGATTGAGCAGCGGAGCTCTTTCATTCCGACAATAAAGTCATACTTACCAATATCTTCATTCCAGTCCTTGGGACAGTGCCACCCCCACCCATGGCTCACACTTGATATGCCCATCTTCTGGCGGGTCCCACCCACTTTCTTGGTGGCCGTACCCCTAATTATTTGGAAACTCGTGGCCACGTTCCCCTCAGCTAATACCCTTTGAGTTCCAGCGCATACTCAGAATAAAGCCCTCATTTACACTCAGCGTTTTGTAGCGCTTTTTGTGCCCAAAACGCTAAAAAGCTCAACAGCTGCGTGCCTGGTGCTGTGAATGAGCCCTAATTCAGGAATGGGCATCTGTGCAATGAGTAGGAGAATGTACACATGTATGTGCATACGCAGCTAAACCTTTGTGTGCCAGTGCTGTGAATAGCCCCTAATACAGGAATGGGCATCTATACAATGAGTATGAGAATGTACACATAGATGTGCATACACAGCTAAACCTTTGTGTACCCGGTGCTGTTAATGAGCCCTAATACAGGAATGGGCACCCATGCAATGAGTAGGAGAATGTACACATGGATGTGCATACGCAGCTAAACCTTTGTGCGCCCGGAGCTGTGAATGAGCCCTAATACAGGAATGGGCATCTATGTAATCAGTACGAGAATGTACACATCGATGTGCATAAGTAGCTAAATCTTTGTGCGCCTGGTGCTGTGAATGAGCCCTAATTCAGGAATGGGCATCGATGCAATGAGTACGAGAATGTACACATGTATGTGCATACGGCACTAAACCTTTGTGTGCCAGTGCTGTGAATAGCCCCTAATACAGGAATGGGCATCTATGTAATCAGTACGAGAATGTACACATGTATGTGCATACGGCACTAAACCTTTGTGTGCCAGTGCTGTGAATAGCCCCTAATACAGGAATGGGCATCTATACAATGAGTATGAGAATGTACACATAGATGTGCATACACAGCTAAACCTTTGTGTACCCGGTGCTGTTAATGAGCCCTAATACAGGAATGGGCACCCATGCAATGAGTAGGAGAATGTACACATGGATGTGCATACGCAGCTAAACCTTTGTGTGCCCGGTGCTGTGAATGAGCACGAATACAGGAACGGGCATCCATGCAATGAGTAGGAGCATGTACACATGGATGTGCATACGCAGCTAAACCTTTGTGCGCCCGGAGCTGTGAATGAGCACGAATACAGGAACGGGCATCCATGCAATGAGTAGGAGAATGTACACATGGATGTGCATACGCAGCTAAACCTTTGTGTGCCCGGAGCTGTGAATGAGCCCTAATATCGGAATCTGCCAGCTGCAGCTCACTGCAGGAAGTGTACCGATCATTTTATGAGCTGTGCAGCCATCACGCTCTGCATAGCAAAGGGAAGGAATCTGTCAGCTTGCACGAACCTCTGTCACCCCTAGCTTCTGGAGAACCACAATACCCAGCAATGCGAGCATACAGACAAGCCCGGGCCGGCCAACACAGCGCAGCACACATTGCACACGCCTTCCATAAAATGCATGGACACGTTTCTGTATGGACACAATCATTAACATCCCTCCTGCACGAACACCGAGGAGGGGTGCTTACTAGGAAGCCGGTGACATTGTGCTGCAACGAGCCCCCCATACAACCACCGCACGTTTCATAAATAAAACAGCTCTCTAATGCGTCTACGCCTTTTTACTACGCTACACCTCAACCGAGCTCAGGGAAGAGCATGGCGGGGCGGAACACGAGAGAATAGACAAGCGCCGGCCACCAATGAGAGAGAACCTGAAAGAAACGCCTACAACGCCATCTCACTGCTCCGTAGCAGTAAAAGGGAGAGGGGGCGTTACTTTGCTGTATTAGTGAAAGCAGCAAGTTTGGCTGAGACCTGGCGGCTGTATGTATGTATGTATGTGTGTGTGTGTGTTGGTGCCGCGGTCACGTGTTGCTGTGAGGGAGACGGAGGCGGCGGGAGCATTGAAGGGGGGCGGGCTGTGGCTCCCGGGAACTCAGACACAGACACAGCTTGTTTTGGTTTATTTCGCAAGGAAAGGTGGGGGGAGAGAGGAAGCTTGGCAGAAAACTCCGGCAACTCCTGTATCTCTCAGTGCGAGGACCACCTCTCCCCCTGAGCAGTAATTTATCATTGTACCTCGCTGCAGCCTGACCGGCCAGGGTCCGCTGGTCGTGCACCCCGGAGTGAAAGGAGGGGGAGAGGAGGGTGAGGCAAGTCTCCAGTTGCCAGCCGGGGGGTGGGAGAGTGCAAGCTACCTGCACCTCCTCTTCCCATCAGATGCCACTTCTGCAACGCGATGGGACTGAATGGGGACACACACACACAAGCAGTGATCCCCTCCCGGCACTGACGTGCTGATTTTGGAAAGGGGTGTCTGGCCGCTGCAGCCCGGTGGGAGGATTAAGCTGAGGCAGCAGCAAAATCAGTGATTCCCCAGACACAATTCACCGCAGTCCTTGCATACATACAAACTTGAACCCTGGCTCTGCAGACGCATGCAAAGCAAGATGCATCTCGCCTGGTGTGTGCAACTATCCTCCTTGCAAAGGATTACATTGGACTTACTACAGGAAAGCTCAGCTACTCTCTGGATTTCTTGATGCAAAGGAAATAATACAACTCTGCACAGTGGACCTAGCTCGCTGCACCATATATATATATATATTTTTTTTTTTGCTGCATTTTTTTTCCGTTCCTCACAAGTGGTGCTTGAATGATCTGTGAATTTGCATAGCATACTTGGACTTTAATTTACAAGGACTACATTTTTTAATAGAAAAAAAATACTATTTATAGGTCGAAATAGTATTCCATACTCTGGTACCATGGCCAGCCCCACCGACCCTCCGCCTCAAGACAACTTCTCTGATGTCAAGAAGGTGGGCTACCTTAGAAAACCTAAGAGCATGCACAAAAGGTTTTTCGTTCTCAGGGTTGCCAGTGAGTCAGGTTTGGCCCGGCTGGAGTATTACGAGAATGAGAAAAAGTGGAGGCATAAGTCGGGGGCCCCAAAGAGGTCCATTCCACTTGAGAGCTGCTTTAATATCAACAAGAGGGCGGATTCGAAGAACAAACATCTGGTAGCTCTGTACACTAAAGATGAGTGTTTTGCCATTGCTGCTGACTGTGAACAAGAACAGGAAGGATGGTACCAGGCTTTGGTGGAATTGCATAACCGAGGTAAAACCCATAACCATCATTACATTGAAGGGGCTGCCAACGTGACGCATGATGGAGTAAATGGGGAGGATGTTTATGGGGAAGTCAACCCTCCTGGTCTGGCCTTTAAGGAAGTGTGGCAAGTGATCATGAAACCTAAGGGTTTGGGACAGCTTAAGAATCTTGTTGGAATCTACCGACTGTGCCTGACCCACCGAACAATTAGTTTGGTAAAGCTCAACTCTGATGCAGCCGCTGTAGTACTGCAGCTCATGAACATCCGGAGATGTGGCCATTCAGAGAACTTCTTCTTCATTGAGGTTGGTCGCTCTGCTGTCACAGGGGCTGGTGAATTCTGGATGCAAGTGGATGACTCTGTGGTGGCGCAGAATATGCATGAGACCATCCTGGAAGCTATGAAAGCACTGAGTGATGAGTTTCGACCCCGGAGTAAAAGCCAGTCTTCATCTAATTGCTCCAACCCCATTTCTGTTCCCCTTAGAAGACATCACCTCAACCATCCACCACCCAGCCAGGTGGGGCTAAATCGTAGAGCCCGCACAGAGAGTATCACAGCCACATCTCCTGCTGGAGGAAATACTAAGCATAGCTCTTCCTCATTCAGAGTTCGGGCCTCAAGTGATGGAGAGGGCACAATGTCGAGACCTGCCTCCATGGACGGCAGCCCCGTGAGCCCTAGCGCAGGCAGAGCTCAGTCACATCGGCGCACTGGCAGTTCTCGGCTTCATCCACCTCTTAACCATAGTCGGTCCATTCCCATGCCTGCAACACGCTGCTCACCCTCTGCCACAAGTCCAGTTAGTTTATCCTCCAGTAGCACCAGTGGGCACGGCTCTACTTCTGACTGCTTGTGTCCTCGACGATCCAGTGCCTCTGTGTCTGGTTCCCCTAGTGATGGTGGCTTTATCTCTTCTGACGAATATGGATCCAGTCCTTGTGATTTCAGAAGCTCCTTTCGTAGTGTGACACCAGATTCTTTGGGGCATACACCACCAGCTCGTGAAGAAGACCTCAATAATTACATCAGCATGGGCAAATCCAGTAGTCTCCTTCAAAGAGGCTCACAGCAGAGATGCCAGTCAAGTAGGGGTGAGGAGACCTCTGACCTTGATAAAGTTTTTAGGAAGAGGACACATTCATCTGGCACTTCCCCTCCTACTATTTCCCACCAGAAAACCCCATCCCAGTCATCAATAGAGGAATACACCGAGATGATGCCTTCTTATCCCGTGCGCCTCACATCATTTAGGCACTCTGCTTTTGTGCCCACTTATTCATATCCAGAAGAGTGCCTGGACCTCCACCTGGAAAATAATAGACCAAACCACAGTGATGATGGTTACATGCCTATGTCACCTGGTGTTGCCCCTGTGCCTACTAAAAACAGTGACTATATGCCCATGAGTCCTAAGAGCGTGTCTGCCCCGCAGCAGATAATTAATCCAAGAAGACATTCACAGATGGATTCAAATGGATATATGATGATGTCTCCCAGTGGTAGCTGTTCCCCAGACAGCTGCACCTACAGTAAGATTTGGACAAATGGGACCAACCCAAAGTTGTCCATAGAGAGCAATGATGGCAAATTGCCTTGTAGTGACTATATCAATATGTCTCCTGCCAGTGGCTCCACTACTAGCACACCACCTGACTGCTATCTGAATACTGTTGAAGAGCCATCTAAACCTGTTTATTCTTACTTCTCTTTGCCAAGGTCTTTTAAGCATGTTCACAGGAAGAACGAAGATGGACATTTAAGGGTTTCTGTTAATTCTGATCATTCTTTATACAATGAAGAATCCTCTTCTTCTTCCACAAGTAGTGATAGTCTAGGGGGACAAGAAACCCAACACTGCAGGAAAGGAGAATCTTCTGCTCAGGTAAAGAGCAGATTGATCAGGCCCACACGGCTATCTTTGGAAAGCAGCAGTAAGGCAAGCACTTTGCCACGGGCACGGGAGCCTGCTTTGCCTCCAGAGCCGAAGAGTCCTGGTGAATATGTCAACATTGAATTCAATGACAAGGCCTTCCCTGGGGGTTTGGTATCGTCCATGTATTCACCACCTTATGTGCAGAGCCGTGTGGTACCACAGCGAGAAAATATATCTGAATATATGAACATGGATCTCAAGCACTGTAGGGCAAAAAACTCTCAGGCCTCCTGTACACCATCCTATAAACAGCCATGTAAACCTACAAATACAGTTTGCTCTTCTGACATATGCAGTAGTCGTCCACCTGTACGAGGAAAGCCAATTACAAGGGACTATATGAGCATGCAGCATGGTACCATATGTTCAGATTACAGCCAGGTACCAACTGCAAGGACCACTGCCAAGCCAATTTCTCCTTGTAAAAGTAATTATGCTGAAATGTCAATTGGTGGACACCCTGACAAAATTCCTTCTGGAACTACAACTTTAACTGAAACGTCTTCTCTTCTGGGCCAGGGCTCTGGCCCCAGTGCATTTACACGAGTCAGCCTAAGCCCTAACCGCAACCAGAGTGCCAAAGTTGTCAGGGCAGGTGACCCACAGGGCAGGAGGCGACATAGCTCAGAAACCTTTTCTTCTACCCCCACTACAGCCCGAGTAAATGCTGGCCCTGTTTCTGGGGATGATGTAAAAAGACACAGTTCTGCATCATTTGAGAATGTTTGGCTGAGGCCAGGTGATGCTACACGGAGAGAATCTTTGCAGCCATCAGACCACCATCATAACGGCCTCAATTACATTGACCTGGATCTTGTCAAGGATTTGAGTGGACTGGAACATTGTAACTCTCATCAGCCTGGGATCACTCACCCCTCAGAGGAACTGAGTGCTTATGCCAGCATCACTTTCCATAAGTTGAAAGAACACAGAAACCGGGCAGAAACAGAAGGTAGGTTTCTCACTTACTATTCCTATATGTAAGCAGAGCCTTTTCTTAGCTCCAGATTAAGCAATTTAGTTATCTTGTCCTAGGTCATTAGGTGTCATAGCCATCCTTAAATACCTGTCTATGAGAAATATGCACAGTTAATCATAAGCAGACTTTCTTGCTGATTGTTCATTCATTTTTTCGTGTCCTTAAAAACACTCCAGAACTCACAATGTATACAGATTGTCAGTTGAGCTTCTTTTATGTACATGTAATTGGATGTGAAACAAGTTTCCGGTTTGCATTATTATTTGGCTAGTTAGTGTGCTTGATTGGTATGGGGGGAACATAAATCTGATCTTTGTCAGCTGTCAGTCACACAGCTGGGAGGATCCAGACATAATTGTCGGGATCCGCTTCAGCTGCGGCGTCTCGATATACCGCGAGCTATAGCTCACGGTATACTGAACCTGGGAGGACGCTAGTTTGTGTCCTCCTGTTACCCTAAGGAGAACTATGGGGAAAAGCCTTAACCCCATAGTTCTCCTTTTAATGTAAGCTTCAGTGTTGTTAAAATGATATAGCCACCAAACCTCTGATTCTGCTAGAAGTGCTGTTACATTTCTTTTGGAAATTTGCCCATCTACTGACAGTTGTTCTTTTTATAAAGCTCATTGGGAACATTGTGTATTACTTTGCTGTATTGTCACTGTGCAACATTTTAAAATAGTTACATGATAAAATGTAGTCGTAATCCTATAACATACATTGCTTCAGTTTTGCAAAGGGATAACCTAAACAGTGGTCTGGGACTTTATTATATCCTACTAAGCATGTTAAAGTTGTAGCAAGTTGGAATTAAGAGCCACACGGTTGTTTTCACTGTTTTGGATTGTATCATTCTATATGATCTGTGCTGTGGAAGTGTAGAAGTCCTTGAAAAGTCACTAACTGCTCTCAGCATTGAGAAAGTAGAGCTTGATTGTTCTCAGAACCTTGTTTGTTAATACTCCAGTTTTATTAGAAATGTTCTTAGGGTGTTTTTGTTTAGCTCCACCTTTTTGAAGTGTCTATTCATGTTTAACATCTAGTCTAGAAGTAATCTGAGAAGCTGGCTGTGCATATGAATGATCCGAATGCCTCTTACAGAAGTAAAAATAATTAGAATACTGGCTAGGTTTTTTTTCTTTTCTAAGCAGTTGAATATGCTCGGCTTCACATCCCAGAATGCTCATTTTCACGCCTTCAAAACAACTCCCTTAAGATCCCGTGTTTATTGATGCTTCAGAAACTTAATAACAAAATTAAATCCTAACGGGCTTTGCTTGAAATCATATCAGTGCTCTTTACAAGTTTAATTGCATGTTGAAAATGCAATTAGATGCAATCTGCTCATAACTTGTCATGTTGTTTTTTACTATAGTCAAGTGTTCTTTTTAATTAATACTTTCACACTGTACCTCCTTACAATTGTTCTGCTTTTGTGAAGTACATTGCCAAAAGGGATTCCATCTTAACGCTGTATATACTGTCCCTATTGTGAATTTGACCTTATGGGGGTTTTTTTTTCTTCCATCTTGGCAGTCAGAAATGCATGGTTGCAGTGGGTTTTAAAACCTGTTGGTGTTTTGTGTCTTTTGTGTTTTTTATTTATATGTATGTATGTATGTGTATATATATATATGTATATATGTATATATGTATATATGTATATATGTATATATGT